CATTTCCTCTCTCAGGCTGCTTTTGAAGTTGTGGCATTATTTTTTCTTAATGAAACATGCAAATCCTGTAAATGCTGCAATTGCGTCTCGGGGAATCCAGTCCTGACACAGCTCTGGTTGTAAATATCTGACTGGCATGTAATTTAGGGCAGATCCATCCTCATTACCTTTTTTCTCCCAATTTCTTATTGCTCAGCATATATCTTCCTAGTGCTGGACTGCTGGGAAGCCCGCTCAGTTGCAGTCCTTTTTGGCGTACCACGGCAGGAGGGGGAAAGAAAAGGCTGAGGTTCATTAAACAGCGAAGCTGAAGATGATTGCAGCGGCATGGCACGGCCTGCTGTTGGCAGATTGCCGGGGGAGGGCTTTGACAAGCCAAGAAGAAACCTCCTGCCTTGGCCACTGATAGCCCACGGTCCCATTCAATGCTGCAGAACTGCGTACGCTGAGCTCACTTTTCACTGCACTTCTGAAGGCTTCACTTCCTTGGGATTTATACCTTCTGCCTCCAAACCAGTAGAAAACTACTCAGTATCAGCATTACGCTCTTTCTAGAAAGCTTGTGATAGCGGTATTGCATGGTTTTATTTTTAATTGCAACGCTCGCTGCTTCAGGTTTACATCCTGACAGCACATTTCTTTTCCCTTTTTAACCTTCTCAGCGTGCACAACTGTCCCAAACCCCTTTGGTGAGGGGCACTGCACCCACAGACAGGCTGTCAGCCCTTCCGCACCCCCTGCGTGCTGCTGCCGCCGACTTTGCAGTGGTTTGACAGACGACGCACGAGCGAAGAGCCGGCCCGAATGGCTGGTGTAGCCAGATGGCTGAGGACACATGTTGTATCCACAGCCTGTGCGGAGGTAAAATGAGCTGAAGGGTTGTTTTATCCTGCGTGGGATGGGGCGAGCACGGCCCGGCCATCGGCATCACCCCCTGGGCAGCCAGCAGGCAAGCGCCGGCATCGCTCTCCCCCAGCCGCCCAAAAATTCAAGGTGGAAGAGGTAAAATTTGAACATTTGCAGATGAACGCTGAGAGTGGATGGGTTACCTTTTAAGGATGATTTGTGCAAGTAACAGGGATCGAAGTCTCGCTCCTCTGGCACTGGTAATGCAGAAGTTCCACCTAACGCTTTTGTTGCGCAAGTGCTACCAAACGGCATCTCCAGCCAGCACTGCAGGTGGTGAAAAGCAAGTTTCCCAGTAAAATAACTAGACCCCATGCTGGAAGAGGGGACAAATACCCTTTATTCCACACCCTTTACTGCAGCCTAAGCAGCCCAGGAGCCATGGCCCCTGTCAGACCTGGCCTGTTCAGCATCAGAGCTCTAAAAATATTTCAAAATACCTATCTCGAAATTGTTTAGCATGCTTTCATCGATAAGCTACCCAACCTACAGGCAGCATGTTCAGGCCAGCACCCAGATACATATGAAAGTGATGGTAGCCACTGCAGCACTTACTGGCATTTCAGAGGTTAACTTGAGCTGGCCCAGGAGTCTGCTCAGGCTACAGGGCTTCGGCAGGTTCTGAGCCCCAATCTTCCCGTGTTTTCATAAAAGATGAGCTGCAGAGCCCACAGACGAGGCACTTCAATGCCTGCGGTTCATCACCTCTGCACCCTTAGCGCTGGGACCCCTTCGCAGCGCAGGGCAAAGCTCTGGGGATCCCCTGGAGCTTTTGGACTTCCAGCTTTCACGTATCATCACCCCGGGGCGTTCTTTGCCTAAGCCCATGTGCATCTATCAACCAAGCACAGATACCTGGAAGGAATCGCCAGTATCATTCTGCACACTGCGACAAATTCTTTTATGTTTTCATGAAAAAAACCCACCCACAAGAAATGAGTATTTGCCAAGCCCAGCTGTGCAAGTCAGGCAGATTTTCAAGCATGCACCGGCATAAAGGTTAAGCACTCAGTAATTCAAATGTCTTCTACGTACAGTAATAAAACTTCTTATGATGTGTCCAGGAGCAGCTGCTGCCCTAGCTTAGCAAACGTAACTGTCTTCTAAAATTGTTTTCTATTCATAAGACTTAGAGCAAATGATGTTTTCAAGTGAACGTAACACGGAGCTGATGGCTTCTGTCTCAAGCTTCTTCTACTGCTTTAATTATAACAGCACTTTAATGCTTGCAGTAGAAAACTGCTGAAAATGCATTTCTTGTATTGCAAATGATGCAAAAAATGTCTTTCACAGATGTTTGATGTCACAGATGTTCAGTACCGCAAAGCTTAACCAAAGTACACCCTAAAAAAGGGTGTGACGATAAAAAAAAAAAATCGCTTACGGTTGTAGCTTTTCAAAGACATACTGAACACGTACATGAACCCATGATTTCAGTATGATTTCACCTTTACTGATGTATTTGCAGTCAGTACAGTGGAGTCACTCTTACAACACATATGCACATACAGCTGACAGAATTATAGAATCCCAGCATGGTTTGGGTTGGAAGGAACCTTCAATAAAGACCATCCAGTTCCAACCCCCCTGCCATGGTCAGGGACACCTTCCCCCAGACCAGGTTGCTCAAAGCCCCAATCCAAATAGACATTTGGATCTTCTACCCGAGTTCAGTTTTTATTAAAGCTCCTTTTTAATGGCCAAGAAGGGAACAAAACAATCCTGCCCACAAACCCGCAGACGAGCAGCATGTCCCAGTGATGCCTCGGGCACTGCTCCCCCGCTGCCGTCCCCAGTACCGAGCTCCAGGACCACTGCCGGGTTATCTTTGCAGAGTCACGAAGGGCCCTTTGACTTGCAGTATCAATTAGTTTGGGCAAGTTAGGCATCTAGTCTTTCCAAGTTCCAAGGTGCTCATCTACTGACGGAAGAGCATGAAAACTCACTTTTTAGCTCTTTTCTACAGCTACGCCCAACCCAGCCGACACTCCTCTCTGTTCTTAAATTAAATGTAGGAACCCGAGTGAAGCAAGCAGCACCCGGAGAAGCCAGCCCACCGGGTGAAGTGTCACACACAAATAGGGAATGACTATAAAATACCATTTTTATTTTTTTTTTTTAACCATCATGTAGAAATAGAGGTCAGTGGAAGCCAGAGGGTATTTGCCCCAGTTATAAGCAGTCTGTGCTGGATGTGATTTAGCTGATGCTGTTAGCCCGGGAGAGACCCAGAAGGCTCTCTTCTAGGAAAAACTCCGTAAGACTCACTCCAAGCTCAGCTGCAGCACTTGCAGGCCTGGATGTCGGCAGGGTTTTATTTGTTTGCTTGTTTTAAAGAAAGGCTTTTTAAGCAGAGTTAAAATACATTCACACCAGAGCAGCTTTAATGGGTACACACAGCAAGAGGAGCACTCAGTCTAGCAGGCAAGCACACACCAAACCGCAGCGTGCATTTTGTAACATCATCCGGGCAGGCTCCGAGGCTGTTTGTTTTTCCCCTTTGTCTTAAAACACCATTTGGCAGCCCTCAGTGGCCAATCCATCCCCTGGAGTGTGCAGCTCCGTGCCCAGGAGAAGCAGCAGCCGCCCTTACAAAGACCTCAGATGGTCTTTTAATTTGGCAGGATTTAATTGCAGCTCTTGCTCCAGGACAGTTTCAAAGACGACAGCTCAAGGGTCCTGACTACAAAGAGCTTTGGAGCGGGCATTTTGACAATAAAACTCTTCTCACTATTGTTCAGGCTCCCCCTTTCCAAAGGCAATGACTCAGCTCCACCAGGACTGGCAGGGAGCCTCCAGCTTCTCAAAAACTGGGTAATGAGATTACAGGAGCAGCTCGCAAGGCTTTCGCTCTTCACTGCAAAAGAAACCTCCGCGCTGTAAGAACTTTGTACGCCTCTTCGGGGCCTTCTGATTAAGAGCATCTCTCGAGGGATGGGTTGGAGACCAACTGGTAGGAAGCTGGGACATCTCAGACGAAAAACTAGAGGGACAAAATGCAAATCCAAGAGGAACATGTACGATTTTAAACCCCTCTTGGCTAAGTTACTACTCTTCAGATATCAAGTAACGATAAATGAAAGGCAAAGAGCTTGCATTTTACCATTTTATGGTGGCTCCACAAGCAGAGAAGAAATAACACATATATCTCAAGGTCCCTTCCAACCTAAAGCATTCTATGATTCTATGATTTGCTCTTAGCAAATATATAGGTTGTAATATTTAAGAATGTGTTTGCTCCGAGCTTTTTATAGAGTCAGAAATCATTTTCACCGATAAAATCTGTGTGTGGTAGTTAATCCTGTAAAGGAGAGGACACTTCTTTGCAGCTTTCATTCCTCCTTGCAGAGAAGACGGTCCAATAATGGGACCTGGTCCTAGAGGGGCATCAAAATTTCTCTCTGCTCATGCAGTAGCGGTAGAGGAGGGAGGAGTAGGAATAAGGAAAAACGCACGCAAACCCCTAGGTCTAAAAGTAAATTTAAAAGACCGTACTGATGAGGACTCCAGGGCTTGTCAAAGTGCAGGTTGCCACCCCTACATCAACACCACCAGTTCCCTTGAAAAGACCAGCCTTATGGCTCCTGCAGGTATTTATGCGGAGATTTATTAACTGCAGTTATACAAGATGACCTTCAGGATTCATCTCCTTGAGATATTTATTTCAATTAAAAACAAACTATTTGGGAAACACAATACATATTTCCCTCTACATTTCCCTCCGTCTAGTTTCCGAAGAGCAATTCTATGGGATACAAACAGTCCTAGGCACCACACAGCGTATTAGACAATATTTAAACCTCACACACAGCAATACAGTCTTCATTCTAGTAAAGTAGAGCAGGAATAAGTTTACATTTACGAAAAATGTAACCGCGCTACACAGAGGCTTCCAAGGACTTAGATGGGAATTAGCTTAAGTTAGAGAAGTAAAAAAAAAAAGCAAGTAAACAAATCTAAGTGTGCAGTTCTTCACAGTTATCTCAGAAGCAATGGGAATGGTGAAGACAATCAGCTGTGGAGAGCAGCCACTCACTAGATGGAAAATGCCAAAATATCCAGTTTCAGCACTTAAAGACTACAGAGGGGGAGAACTACTCTACCAGGATCGTATCAACGCTTTCTTGGATGAGATCTGACTCCAGTATACATTCATCTAAGTGGTCTTGGGATAAACTGGAACTTTTCCCCGCGTTCTCGCTGTCACAGTAAGGACGAAACCTGGGGGTCGCGGAGCTCTCCAGCCGCTGGCAGCGACTGTATTTCTGCTGCTTCCCTCTGTGTGTGTACATGTGTTCGAGCAGCTGGCTCTTGCGGAAAAACGTGCGGCCACAGACAGTGCAACTGATTTTTCTCTTTCTCGAGAAAGAAAAGTTACAGTTCAACTCTACCGGTTCATGGTCCTTGGAGATGAGGGAGAGCTGGCCGATCTGCAGAGGCTCCAGGTCGCTGCAGCTCAGGTGCTCTAGCTGAGGCTCGTCCTCCTTGAGGAGGAAGGCCCCGAGCCGGTGGCCATCCCCTGTCTCCCTGTCCTCAGCCAGCGGCTGCACCTCCCCCAGGTCGCTGCTCTCCAGGATGGAGGCCGGCACGCCGAATGGCAGCGAGCCCGAGACGTGGGTGTGCAAGTGCTCCCGCAGCCCCCCCCGGGAGTCGAAACGCTCCCCGCAGTAGTGACACAAGTGCACCTTGAGGCTGGCCTTAGCAAAGATGGGGCTCGCTACCTCCGGAGACGGAGGGGTGCAGCTCTGGGACACCACGGGCTCTGAGTCGCACCTCTCCTGCTTTATGGAGACCGAGAGCTTTGGATGCTCTTCTGCCGGCTTGGCGAGAGTGGCGGGCGGAGCGGAGGGGCGAGCGACCTGCTGGTTGAGGGAGCTGTCGTCCAGGCCGATGGCCAGAGAGAGCTGCAGCTGCGGGTGGTCGCCCTGGGCAGCAGACCTGCTGCCCGCCTTGGGCAGACTCTCCTTGGCTCCCAGGCGCTCCTTCGCCGGTTTGTGTGCGGTCGAGATCTGGATGCCGTACAAGTTCGAAGACTGGACCGGCTCTGGGGAGAACACTTGGTTCATCTCGATCGCAATGTGGGAGAGGTGGTCTGCGTGGAGAAAGCGGATGCCCTCCTCCAGTCGGCTCTGGCTGACGGTCTGCTTTGGCCCTTTCCCGGTGTACATGATATGCAACAAGTAACTAAATATGTCGGGCTGGATGTCTGTAGGCTGAATCTTTATGCATTCGCTGAAACAAGACAGATGATTAAGTACATATAGGGCTCCAAATTAGAGTCCTGATCCATTACCTGCCCATACATTTGCTCCGCCGTTTGCTGTCAGAGCACGAGTGCTGCTGCCTGCCTCCCAGTTCACAACGAGCAGTGCTCCCCGCCAAGACCTGCAGAAGTGCACGTGCCCTGTTTGCACAGTAAAGTGCCTGTGAGCGTGTATTTATCCCTGTGATTATAAAGACCATGTGCACAAACGCAGCCAGGGACGGTGCGAGCGGCCAGCTCCCGGTCACCCCGTCGCTTGCAGGCACAGCCAGTTGCCGCCGCACGGCAGTGCGGCGATGCCACGCACACTACACGTCGCCAGCGTGTGCCACTCCGGTCATACGAGGCAAAGAATATTTGTGTGTTTAAGCAATAAATTCAGCTCCCGCTTCTGTGTAATCTTTATGAGCTTTCCACTTCAGTGTCAGTAAACATCTATTGGGAAGGAAGTTAACTGATCTTCTCAGATCCAGCCGAAGGGCTACGCAGCCGATGGCTAGATTATCCTGCAAAGGTGCTGGGGACCAGGATCCTCAAAGAGGAAGGAGAATGGAGAAGGGTTTAATCGGTTACAAGCAGCAAGCTCCAGGTCAGAGGTGACATTAGACCTTGGCACCGCTGTTGTTATACCTGCAGAACCACTCCTGACCCAGCCGGGTGAAGCATCTGAACAGCAGCTTGAAATAAATTGATGATCTCAGTCTCGGCCCTTATCTGCAAGAGTCTGAAGCGCAGAACTGCGATAAGGCTACGGCTTCTCGATTGCTTCAAGCCCATGGGTCCTGCCAGAAGGGACAGTGCCACCCAGCAAGTCTGCCTACAAGCTAATGCAAAGCAATGGACACGCTGCGTACGGGCAGGAGGTACCTGTGCATCCCTATACAGCAAATCTGTGAGGTCTCGCTGCAGGAGGACTGTGGTACTTACATGTTTATTTTCCCTGGTCACGCAAACGTCTCATCTTCAAAACGCGGGGCCTGATGTTGGCATATGCTGACTAAGAGGGTGGTTTTAAAGGACAGCACATTCTGGACTGGGAATGTTTAGAGAGCCAAAGCGTTTGCTAGGTTAGGAAAATAATATCAGGCCACCTAACATCCCCGCTTAACGCTCTTTTAGACTATAATACCTTTAGAAGGGGGGAAAAAAGCAGGAAGTTGAGGAGAGCAGTTAAAAGGTAGGAGGAGAGCCGTGTGTCCTTACCTCGTCTGATGAATAAATATCATCTTAAAATAGTTTGAAAAAGCAGCGAGCACCGCTCTGTGGGCTTTGAAGTAAACATCTCCAATGGCAACCGTGCAGTCACACAGAAAGCCGAACTCCCGCTGCATGTTCAGCTGCTGGAGGAGGAGGACGCTGTGGCCGGTCGTGTCCATGGCGAGCCTGAGAGCAAGAGAGCAAGATGTTCACCTCACGAAGAAATCAGGGAGCTCCCGAAGCCTCCAAACGTGGGTTTCGCACCGCTGAAACGAGCCGGGCGCCCGGCACACAGCACGGCCTCGCCGAGCCTCCTCCTTCCCCCAGGCGGTCCCTGCACCCCCATTTAATGACTTCTGCTCCCCGTAACCCCCCGCCGGTGCCCAAACCCACGCTCAACGAGCTCGAAAGCCAGGCGGGACTTTTCGCTCTGCCACCTACACGCAAAGCTGTTTCTCGTACAAATTCGCCACGCTCCGTGGTGCGTCGGCACCAACTTTAAGCACCGCTCGCCTTCCCGCTCCGCCCTCGGATCGCGCT